TCTGAGCTGGGACAGGAGCCCTGAGCTGGGACAGGAGCGTGTCCCACCCTGCACCGGGACACAGCTCAGCCCTGGGACATTCCCCGTGTCCCACCCTGCACCGGGACACAGCTCAGCCCGGGGACATTCCCTGTGTCCCACCCTGCACCGGGACACAGCTCAGCCCGGGGACATTCCCTGTGTCCCACCCTGCACCGGGACACAGCTCAGCCCGGGGACATTCCCTGTGTCCCACCCTGCACCGGGACACAGCTCAGCCCTGGGGACATTCCCTGTGTCCCACCCTGCATCGGGACACAGCTCAGCCCTGGGGACATTCCCTGTGTCCCACCCTGCACCGGGACACAGCTCAGCCCTGGGACATTCCCCGTGTCCCACCCTGCACCGGGACACAGCTCAGCCCGGGGACATTCCCTGTGTCCCACCCTGCACCGGGACACAGCTCAGCCCGGGGACATTCCCTGTGTCCCACCCTGCACCGGGACACAGCTCAGCCCGGGGACATTCCCTGTGTCCCACCCTGCACCGGGACACAGCTCAGCCCTGGGGACATTCCCTGTGTCCCACCCTGCATCGGGACACAGCTCAGCCCTGGGGACATTCCCTGTGTCCCACCCTGCACCGGGACACAGCTCAGCCCTGGGACATTCCCCGTGTCCCACCCTGCACCGGGACACAGCTCAGCCCGGGGACATTCCCTGTGTCCCACCCTGCACCGGGACACAGCTCAGCCCGGGGACATTCCCTGTGTCCCACCCTGCACCGGGACACAGCTCAGCCCGGGGACATTCCCTGTGTCCCACCCTGCACCGGGACACAGCTCAGCCCTGGGGACATTCCCTGTGTCCCACCCTGCATCGGGACACAGCTCAGCCCTGGGGACATTCCCTGTGTCCCACCCTGCACCGGGACACAGCTCAGCCCTGGGACATTCCCCGTGTCCCACCCTGCACCGGGACACAGCTCAGCCCGGGGACATTCCCTGTGTCCCACCCTGCACCGGGACACAGCTCAGCCCGGGGACATTCCCTGTGTCCCACCCTGCACCGGGACACAGCTCAGCCCGGGGACATTCCCTGTGTCCCACCCTGCACCGGGACACAGCTCAGCCCTGGGGACATTCCCTGTGTCCCACCCTGCATCGGGACACAGCTCAGCCCTGGGGACATTCCCTGTGTCCCACCCTGCACCGGGACACAGCTCAGCCCTGGGACATTCCCCGTGTCCCACCCTGCACCGGGACACAGCTCAGCCCGGGGACATTCCCTGTGTCCCACCCTGCACCGGGACACAGCTCAGCCCGGGGACATTCCCTGTGTCCCACCCTGCACCGGGACACAGCTCAGCCCGGGGACATTCCCTGTGTCCCACCCTGCACCGGGACACAGCTCAGCCCTGGGGACATTCCCTGTGTCCCACCCTGCATCGGGACACAGCTCAGCCCTGGGGACATTCCCTGTGTCCCACCCTGCACCGGGACACAGCTCAGCCCTGGGACATTCCCCGTGTCCCACCCTGCACCGGGACACAGCTCAGCCCGGGGACATTCCCTGTGTCCCACCCTGCACCGGGACACAGCTCAGCCCGGGGACATTCCCTGTGTCCCACCCTGCACCGGGACACAGCTCAGCCCGGGGACATTCCCTGTGTCCCACCCTGCACCGGGACACAGCTCAGCCCTGGGGACATTCCCTGTGTCCCACCCTGCATCGGGACACAGCTCAGCCCTGGGGACATTCCCTGTGTCCCACCCTGCACCGGGACACAGCTCAGCCCTGGGACATTCCCCGTGTCCCACCCTGCACCGGGACACAGCTCAGCCCGGGGACATTCCCTGTGTCCCACCCTGCACCGGGACACAGCTCAGCCCGGGGACATTCCCTGTGTCCCACCCTGCACCGGGACACAGCTCAGCCCGGGGACATTCCCTGTGTCCCACCCTGCACCGGGACACAGCTCAGCCCTGGGGACATTCCCTGTGTCCCACCCTGCATCGGGACACAGCTCAGCCCTGGGGACATTCCCTGTGTCCCACCCTGCACCGGGACACAGCTCAGCCCTGGGACATTCCCCGTGTCCCACCCTGCACCGGGACACAGCTCAGCCCGGGGACATTCCCTGTGTCCCACCCTGCACCGGGACACAGCTCAGCCCGGGGACATTCCCTGTGTCCCACCCTGCACCGGGACACAGCTCAGCCCGGGGACATTCCCTGTGTCCCACCCTGCACCGGGACACAGCTCAGCCCTGGGGACATTCCCTGTGTCCCACCCTGCATCGGGACACAGCTCAGCCCTGGGGACATTCCCTGTGTCCCACCCTGCACCGGGACACAGCTCAGCCCTGGGACATTCCCCGTGTCCCACCCTGCACCGGGACACAGCTCAGCCCGGGGACATTCCCTGTGTCCCACCCTGCACCGGGACACAGCTCAGCCCGGGGACATTCCCTGTGTCCCACCCTGCACCGGGACACAGCTCAGCCCGGGGACATTCCCTGTGTCCCACCCTGCACCGGGACACAGCTCAGCCCTGGGGACATTCCCTGTGTCCCACCCTGCATCGGGACACAGCTCAGCCCTGGGGACATTCCCTGTGTCCCACCCTGCACCGGGACACAGCTCAGCCCTGGGACATTCCCCGTGTCCCACCCTGCACCGGGACACAGCTCAGCCCGGGGACATTCCCTGTGTCCCACCCTGCACCGGGACACAGCTCAGCCCGGGGACATTCCCTGTGTCCCACCCTGCACCGGGACACAGCTCAGCCCGGGGACATTCCCTGTGTCCCACCCTGCACCGGGACACAGCTCAGCCCTGGGGACATTCCCTGTGTCCCACCCTGCATCGGGACACAGCTCAGCCCTGGGGACATTCCCTGTGTCCCACCCTGCACCGGGACACAGCTCAGCCCTGGGACATTCCCCGTGTCCCACCCTGCACCGGGACACAGCTCAGCCCGGGGACATTCCCTGTGTCCCTGCACCGGGACACAGCTCAGCCCGGGGACATTCCCTGTGTCCCTGCACCGGGACACAGCTCAGCCCGGGGACATTCCCTGTGTCCCACCCTGCACCGGGACACAGCTCAGCCCGGGGACATTCCCTGTGTCCCACCCTGCACCGGGACACAGCTCAGCCCTGGGGACATTCCCTGTGTCCCACCCTGCATCGGGACACAGCTCAGCCCTGGGGACATTCCCTGTGTCCCACCCTGCACCGGGACACAGCTCAGCCCTGGGACATTCCCCGTGTCCCACCCTGCACCGGGACACAGCTCAGCCCGGGGACAGCCCCCGTGTCCCACCCTGCACCACGGGGAGCAGGAGATGAAATCCTGGGAAAGGCCAGGCGCAGGGAGCAGAGGTGTGGAATTCCTCCTGGTGGAATGACAGAGCACACCCGGTCCCGGAGGATCCTGCAGGGCCCCCTCCTCTTGGGGAGGCTTCTGCCCACAGTGGTTGGTCAAAGCCTCATACAGAGGAGCCCTGCCTGCCCAGGAGTGCTGTGATTCCCACAGCCCAGCAAGAGGTGAGCTAGATAACATCTGCTCTCTACAGCAATCTGCACAGGGATTGTGTTCTCTGCCTTTGCTAGGGCTCAACAAAAACTCACCTCTAGGCACAGCGGGAAAATTCCAGCCCTGACCAAAAGTACAGTTTTTCAGGAGGTTAACAGCAGAGAGAAACAGAGCTCTAAAATCCCTGCAGGACCTAACAGCAGCTCCTGGCCAGGATCTGCTCTCAGCACCTTTGTTCTCACCAAGCCAGTCGAGTCCTCTCAAAGCTCACATCCCCATTGTGCCAGCCCAGCCTGAATGCATTATGTAAAGAGCTATCTACTTAAAAACGGAATTCTAATCAGCGTGAGGCACTCGGTGCTTCTCCCTGGGCCTCAGCTCTTTGAAATAAAGTTCCTGAATCAATATTAAACATGCGTGCTGATGCAACAAGCAAATCCAGAGAGGTTCATGAATGCGGAGTGGGAAGAAACTCCTCGCAGTCACAGGGAAAGGGCAGGGCCGGGAGGACAAGTGTCACTTCAAGGTGTCCCTGGGGCAGGACAGGCCCGGGTGAAGGGCTGTGCCCTGTGTCAGGCTCCTGGAGGGGCTGGGAAAAGAGCTGCAGCCCAGGAGCCTCAGCCTGGGAGGGGACAGGAGCCCTGAGCAGGGACAGGAGCTATGAGCTGGGACAGGAGTCCTGAGATGGGACAGGAGCTCTGAGCTGGGACAGGAGCTCTGAGCAGGGACAGGAGCCCCCCTGAGCTGCCCGCTGGCCGGGGCAGGGCGCTCGGCCCCGGCCCGGCTGAAGCGCTGGTGAGAGCAGGCGCTGCGAGGTGCCCGCAGCACTGGCTCTGGGCTCTAACAAGACACCATCCCGCGCGGGGTCACCCCCTGCTCCAGGCACCAGCCGCGGCACGACCTCCGAGCCCCGCGGGCGGCCGAGGCCGCGGGCACGCAGCGCAGCCCAGGGAGCGCTCAGCGATTAACACAGGCCGAGCGCAGCCTGCGCCGCCCGGAGCGCCAGCAGCACGGCTCTCCGCACCCCGCAGGCGATGGCACACGCCAGGGGACCGGGGAGCCCCCACCGAACCACGGCGGGGCTCGTCCGGCCTGCGGGACGGAGTGCGGGCAGCGCGGCGATGCTCGGCCGCGCCAGGACAGCTGCCCAGCGTCTAAAACGTAAGACTAAAAAGTTTGGTAGGGGGAGGGGGGGGGGGTTCCCGTGCTTTTCTCGCCGAGGAAAAGCGAGGAAGTGGGAAAGGGGACAGGGAGGAGGTGATGAAGGGACGGGAGGGGGGTGGGGATGAGACCAGGGTCAGGGGGGCCATGAAGGAGGGAGGGAGCCCGGGAAGGAGGGGAAGGGAGCGGGGGAGGAGCCCGGCAAGAGGCCGGGAAGGAGCCCGGCGAGGTGGGAAGTGGCCGGGGAAGCGGCCGGCAAGGGCCGGAGAAGGAGCCCGGGAGGGATCGCAGCGGGCGGGCGGGAGCGGGGAGCGGATGTTACCTGGGCCCGTCCGGGCGCGACAAACCTTTAAAGGAGCATCCAGTCCAACCCCCTGCCACAGACAATAACACCTCCCACTTGATGATGTTGTTCTAAGTCCTATCCAGCCTGGCTTTGGGCACTGCCAGGGATCCAGGGGCAGCCCCAGCTGCTCTGGGCACCCTGTGCCAGGGCCTGCCCACCCTGCCAGCCAGCAATTCCTGCCCAAGATGCCAAAATCTGTGCCTGCCCTGTGGCAGTGGCAGCCATTGCCTGTGTGCTGTCCCTGCAGGCCTTGTCCCCAGTCCCTGTGCAGCTCTCCTGGAGCCCCTGGAGGCCCTGGCAGGGGCTCTGAGGTGTCCCTGGAGCCTTCTCTTGTGCAGGGGAACAGCCCCCGCTGGGCCAGGCTGGCTCCAGAGCAGAGGGGCTCCAGCCCTGGCAGCATCTCCGTGCCTCCTCTGCACTGGCTGCAGCAGCTCCACGTCCTTGTGCTGCTGGAGCCAGGGCTGGGGCAGCTCTGCAGGTGGGCTCTCACCTGAGCCCAGGGCACAGGGGCAGAATCCCCCCTGCCCTGCTGCCCACGCTGGGGATCAGCGTGGATCCCAGGAGCCCGGCAGCCACAGCCCTGCACGCTGCGCTGCCTCCCCTCTCACGGCTCCTCACCCGGCACAAGCGAGCTCCCCGAAGCAGCTCAGCTGGAAAGGAAAAGGTATTTCAGAGCTACAGTGTTCCACCTTCCTGCCCATTTGAATACAAAACAGAATGGAAAGAGCTGTGCAAAGTACCTTGTCCGCTGGAAAACGCAACGTATTTTTGCTGAATATAAGGGGATTTTGGCAAGGCGTTGGTGTGCTGTCACAGCCACTCCAATAGGAACCAAGAATAATGGGAATGAAAAAAATTTGTTATATCGCCCCATCTAAATTTGCTGCTCACACTATTTAGTAATTTACAGTCACTTCCATGTCCTGAAGACCTTCCCCTGAAAAGCAATATATAATACTCCTACATGTGCCACCTCCTCCTGGGCAGGTGTCATTGAAGCCTCCCGTGTTTCTGTAAATCTGGAGTAACTCAGGAGGGAGACGGGCGCTGCAGCCCCGGGCAGTGTCCCAGGCCATGGCACTACTGCCGGACACACACAGAGCAGCGGATTACAGAGCCTAATTAAGCTGTTAATGAGCACAGAGCCACGGAGGGAGAACCCCAAACGAACATCGCCGCACTGCCCGGTGGATGTGGGCTAAAGGCAGCCTCGGGAGAGCACAGGAGCGTGCTGAGCAGCCGGGGACAGGGCTTTGTGTCCCCAGCACGGCAGGGCCAGGCTGCAGCACCGCTGTCACACCGAGCCCGAGCAGCCCGGCCCGTGTCCCCCCGAGCTGTCAGCGCATCTGCGGCTGCCGGGCGCCCACAGCCGCGGCCCCCAGCCCGCCGATCTAACTCCTGCCGCCCACGCTGCCCGTCCGTGCTAATGGTCATTGTTATGAATAAAAAGTTACCTATTTTTGTTTAAGATTACAGAGCTAAAACCGGTTGGACCAATTGCTGTCAAATTAGCTCCATTGTTAAAGAGTTCTTATCTAATTGCCCATCAATGGTTGGTGATTTAGCCATTGTACTCCCAGGGCTTGCCCTGGAGCTACACCTGGACAGGCCTGCCCATTTATTTCATAAAGTGTTGGTGTTGCATTAGCAGCTGCCCCCTGCGCCAAACCACGGATTTCGGGGAGACCCGGGCCAGTCCTGCCACCTCGCCAGAGCACACATTTCTGGAACCAGACCTCCCCGGGTAAATAATTAATGTGCTGCTCCTTACGAACAAACATAACTCAGTCAGGGAAGCTGTTTTTAAAGTCTGTTAAACAAAAATACAACAACAACCAAAAAAAAAAAAAAACCCCACCCAAAACAAAAAACCCAAAATGAACAAAAAAAAAGCCAAAAAAAACCCCCAAAATCCTACCAATTAAAAAAAAAAAATACAACACAGCAAAACACCCAAACCAAAAACCAAAACCGAAACCAACAAAAACCCCCAAAACAAACCCCAAACCAACCAACCAAACAAAGAAACACCAAGCCCCCACCAAACAAACAAACAAACAAACGCAGAAAGCGAAGGCCGTGTTTATTTCTCTGCACTGGCAGCTGCAGAGTCCCCCCTGGGCCGGGGCAGCGGCTGACACCAAGGCTGGGACACCCTCGGCTGCATTTCCCAGCTGGATTTCCCTTCCCAGCCGGATTTAGCTGGGCTCTCCGTGCTCCTCTCAGAGCACAGCCGTATTCCCGGTATTCCCGGTATTCCTGTGCTCCAAGGAACCCCTCTGCACATTCCCGAGGGACGTTCACCTCCCTGGGGCCCAGGGCCCCTCCTGCCCCAGGAACATCCCTGTAGCCATGATATTTTATTAAAAATCCTTTCCTAGGACTTTTCCCCTCCTGAGGAGCTGGGAGCCTCAGGAAAGAAATGTAAACAATAACTAAACAATAATTATTTGCTGCTGTGGAATGCAACAGGTGCATCTTCCACTGGTCCATGTGGATTGTTTTTAATTGATGACCAGTCACAGACACCTGTGCCGAGGCTGTGAGCAGTCACAGGATTTTGTTATGCATTCTATTCTATTCTATTCTATTCTATTCTATTCTATTCTATTCTATTCTATTCTATTCTATTCTATTCTATTCTATTCTATTCCTGTTCTTTGTAGCCTTCTGATCATCTTTTCTCTCTGCTCTTTTAGTATAGTTTTAATGTAGTATTTTAGTATAATATATAATAAATCAGCCTCCCGAAATGGAGTCAAGCCTCGTGTCTCCACACACAGAGTGTTCACCTCAGCACATCCCTGCTCTCACAAAACTCTGGCTGCCTCCCCCTTCCTCCTTCCCACAGCTTCTTCTGCAGTTTTAGCAGTCCTTCCGCTGGTAACAGCTAAAAAAGGAACCAAACCTAGGGGAACTCTTCCAGGAAGGCAGAAGGATGTTTAAAATTAGTTACTTGGAGCTTAAAAATTATTTCAGAAGCTCTTCCTTCACACAGCCAGAACTTGTTAAAACTCCCCCATGGTCCAGAGCAGAGTCCTTGTCTGCTGTCAGGGAAACTCTCGGGCACATCTGTTTGTTGCAAAGGAATTTTGCCCTCTGGTAACCAACAGATGATTAATGGAAAGATAAACTCCTTGAGAACATGGGCAATTTATGGTCCAAACCTTTCCTGAGCGGCACACGTGCTCCGGTTAATTTAATTCGGGTTTCATTAGCAGTCGGAATTGCGCGGTAATTTGGTGTCCAGACTTCCAGGAGAGTGGAGCACGGGTCTGCTGGAAAAGAGGCAACTGCAGCTCGTTCTCAAGCGCTGAAATGCACTAAATGGAAAGCACAGAAGTTTCACATAACCCCGCACTGAGTGTGCTCTGGCTCACTGCCGTGCCCAAAATCATGGTTTAAATCCACAGCAAATGACGCGGCCTTGAGTGCAGACCAAGCAGCCTTCGCTCCTCAGGTCAGGGCACAGGAGCATTCCCTGCCTTGACCCTCCTTGTGGGATAGATGGCGGTGGAATTGCGGTGGAATTGCGGTGGAATTGCGGTGGAATTGCGGTGGAATTGCGTTTCAGCTGTGCAGCAGGTCCCCAGAGCCAGGCGTGGAGGCCTGAGCTGTGCTGCAGTGTGACACCTCCTCCCTCGCCGCCCTTTGCCCAAAATGACCCGTTCTGAGCCGGGATGCAGACCCAAGCCACAGCCCTGAAGCCGTGCCCCGAGCTGCCCGTCGCAGCTGTGGACGGGTGTAAAACCAGCGGTTTTGGGTGTTCCAGCGAGCAGCAGGCGCGGCACGGAGGGCCAGGACAACAATCCTGTCCCCGTGTGAGACCCGGCACGGCTGGAGCGCGCTGGCCACCCAAAACTGAGCCTGGCGCCACGGCCTCTGCACGGGACGCTGCTTTTGCAAAAGGAGGGGAAGTGCAGTGTGGGGAGAGACCGCAGGCGTCGGCAGAGCCTGCCTGCTTCACACGGCATTGCTGAGAGAAGAACAGAGAGATCCGCCAGCGCCAGGCTCCTCACAGCGGCCTGCCGCTCCTCCCAGCATCCCAGGAAATCAAAGACCCCTCCCTCCGCATCTGAAGCACGTCTGGTGTTGTGGTAAATAGGTGTGAAACACTGATCAATATTGGTACAGTAATTAATATCTGGAAATAGTAAAACAGTTAAAAGAAGGAGGAGGGCGGCACCCTTTTTCCTGCAGATGTTCAGGACGGGAAGAAGCAAGAAATAATGATTACTAAAATTAACAGAAAGAACAGAAAGTTTGGTTGGATCCCAGGAAAACAGTAATTATGAGATTTATTGCTTTGATGCTAGAACATAATATTGGCTTGCGTGATATTAGCTTTGGCTGACATTATACCAGCTTGGTGCGCACGTGTAATCCAAAAGGTGAATCAAAGGACGCCGAGGAAGAGGAGAGGCCTTCCTCAGGGAACCCCAAAGAGTGGGGGACCACCTAAAAAGGGTGGAGCACGCGTGATGAAGGTGATGATGAGGGTGGAGATACAAGTGTGACGAATCGAAAATGGGAGGAGATGGTGATGACGTACAGCACAAAAAGGGGGATTTTGGGCTTGGCAAGTTTGTACGTGGGGTGACGGGGGTCCAAGGACCCTGCCCTCCGTACCCCACGCGGTTATTTTTGCTCATGCGCTATTATCAGAACCAAAATTATCCCTTATTTTAACCAAATTATATTGACAATATTTCAAGTGAGTAGAGTGGAGCACGGGTCTGCTGGAAAAGAGGCAACTGCAGCTCGTTCTCAAGCGCTGAAATGCACTAAATGGAAAGCACAGAAGTTTCACATAACCCCGCACTGAGTGTGCTCTGGCTCACTGCCGTGCCCAAAATCATGGTTTAAATCCACAGCAAATGACGCGGCCTTGAGTGCAGACCAAGCAGCCTTCGCTCCTCAGGTCAGGGCACAGGAGCATTCCCTGCCTTGACCCTCCTTGTGGGATAGATGGCGGTGGAATTGCGGTGGAATTGCGGTGGAATTGCGGTGGAATTGCGGTGGAATTGCGTTTCAGCTGTGCAGCAGGTCCCCAGAGCCAGGCGTGGAGGCCTGAGCTGTGCTGCAGTGTGACACCTCCTCCCTCGCCGCCCTTTGCCCAAAATGACCCGTTCTGAGCCGGGATGCAGACCCAAGCCACAGCCCTGAAGCCGTGCCCCGAGCTGCCCGTCGCAGCTGTGGACGGGTGTAAAACCAGCGGTTTTGGGTGTTCCAGCGAGCAGCAGGCGCGGCACGGAGGGCCAGGACAACAATCCTGTCCCCGTGTGAGACCCGGCACGGCTGGAGCGCGCTGGCCACCCAAAACTGAGCCTGGCGCCACGGCCTCTGCACGGGACGCTGCTTTTGCAAAAGGAGGGGAAGTGCAGTGTGGGGAGAGACCGCAGGCGTCGGCAGAGCCTGCCTGCTTCACACGGCATTGCTGAGAGAAGAACAGAGAGATCCGCCAGCGCCAGGCTCCTCACAGCGGCCTGCCGCTCCTCCCAGCATCCCAGGAAATCAAAGACCCCTCCCTCCGCATCTGAAGCACGTCTGGTGTTGTGGTAAATAGGTGTGAAACACTGATCAATATTGGTACAGTAATTAATATCTGGAAATAGTAAAACAGTTAAAAGAAGGAGGAGGGCGGCACCCTTTTTCCTGCAGATGTTCAGGACGGGAAGAAGCAAGAAATAATGATTACTAAAATTAACAGAAAGAACAGAAAGTTTGGTTGGATCCCAGGAAAACAGTAATTATGAGATTTATTGCTTTGATGCTAGAACATAATATTGGCTTGCGTGATATTAGCTTTGGCTGACATTATACCAGCTTGGTGCGCACGTGTAATCCAAAAGGTGAATCAAAGGACGCCGAGGAAGAGGAGAGGCCTTCCTCAGGGAACCCCAAAGAGTGGGGGACCACCTAAAAAGGGTGGAGCACGCGTGATGAAGGTGATGATGAGGGTGGAGATACAAGTGTGACGAATCGAAAATGGGAGGAGATGGTGATGACGTACAGCACAAAAAGGGGGATTTTGGGCTTGGCAAGTTTGTACGTGGGGTGACGGGGGTCCAAGGACCCTGCCCTCCGTACCCCACGCGGTTATTTTTGCTCATGCGCTATTATCAGAACCAAAATTATCCCTTATTTTAACCAAATTATATTGACAATATTTCAAGTGAGTTCAATTTCATATATATTTTAAGCTGCTTAATTAAAATTGCTGCTGCATTTAATTTCGTTCGGGTTTCTTTTACGGTGGGGTAACTGGGCAGACACAAGAGTGGCTCAGCTCTGATTTACTGCCAGCTCGGGAGAGCCGTGCAATTCACCGTGCTCCAGCGGCCACACACCAGCGCTCGGGATCTCCTCTGGTGGAGTGTAGCCATGATATTTTATTAAAAATCCTTTCCTAGGATTTTTCCCCTCCTGAGAGCTGAGGGCCACAGGAAAGAAATGTAAACAATAATTATTTGCTGCTGTGGAATGCCACAGGTTCATCTTCCCCTGGTTCATGTGCATTGTTGTCAATTGATGACCATCACAGCCACCTGAGGCTGTGAGCAGTCACAGGATTTTGTTATTCTATTCTATTCCTGTTCTTTGTAGCCTTCTAATCATCTTTTCTCTCTGTTCTTTTAGTATAGTTTTAATGCAGTATTTTAGTATAATATGTAAGACAATAAATCAGCTTTCTGAGAAATGGAGTCAAGCCTCGTGTCTGCACACAAGGGGTGTTCACCTCGACAGCTGAGATGACCCCGAGCTGTGTTAAAAGTCTCTTTTCCCCAACCCAGCTCAGAAGAAGGAGTCAGAAGTCTCCGGCTGTCGTTCTCAAGGTTGTTTATTATTTTTTTATCTAAAACATTTTCTGTCTGGCCCGCTGAGGTCTGTTCTGCAGGTCAGTCCGAGGCACACTGCCTGGTGTTGTCTCTTATAATATAAACTACGTATTTGATATTTACAGTTATGTCCCAGTGCCTATCCCCTGTGCTAGACAGTGACTTTCTACTCCACACCAATCCCAAAGTGCCACCATCTCCAAGCAGATGGAGGCTGGGAAGAAGAAGGGAGAAGGGCAGGACAACGCCCAAATCCCTCCATCTTGTCCCTCGACCCCCATAGTGAAATTCTTCAAAATTCCACCTTTCACCCTGTGACAACCACTGCTGTGCCCCTTACACTTCTGTGCCCTGTGATTCTTCACACAAGGTTGGTAATTTGCCCCACGGGTTGAGATCGAATTCCCAGGTGTCTCTGGCTTCCTGCCAGGGTCTCCGAGCCCCTGCCAGGATTTTGAGCCATCCAGAGGGATGTGCTGGGTTCCAAGAACCGGGAATGTCAGCCCTTCTCCTCCCGTCCCCGGCTTGGTGCAGCCCAGCCAGCGGAGCTCCGGCGCTGCCGCTGCACTCCGACCTGGCCCCGGCTGCCGGCGAAACCCAGGGCAGCCTCCTCAAGGATTGCTTCCTGCTGGAATCTGAAATGCAAGGAATTCTCAGGATTTTGGGTTTGTTAAAGTTTAGAACTTTTAGAATAAAGTTCAGGAATTTTTAGAATTTTTGGGTGAGTTAAAGTTTGGGATTAAACACAGGATTTGATTTGAGATTTTGGAAAAGGTTTCTAAACTTAAGCGTTAGAAGTGAGAATGCAGATTTATAGTTTAAAGCAAACACCCATTAAGCTAAATAAAGGAAAGTTTAGAGTTTTAAAATTCAAGATATAGAAAAAATAAAAGTAGTTATAAAAGTAATCAAGAAATTTAAAACACAGTGCTGTCAGTTTGTGTGTTATACTATAATTAACTAAAAAACCACACACTGTAGCACGAATCTGTAAGATAAAATATTTAAAGATTGACTTCTTGTTGACAGTGTTTCATTAGTTAATAAATCTTCAAAAGGTTTTGTAACTAGGAGTCTTGTGACCTTCTGAATTATACTACGAAGATGTGAGCTGAACTCAGCTTTCTTACTTATGTAAAAGATAAAAAAATAAACTGCATCATCAAAAACAATTCAAAAGTCTTGTCTCAATTAAAAATTCCTCACAGCTGCAGATCAGCAAATTCAGCTAAAATTTGGGAAACCCCAGCTTCCAGTTTGAGGTGGGGAGGACAGGAGACAGAAGCAGGGTGTGCGTGCCCCTCGACAGAAGGAATGAAGTCACTGCAGAAACTGAGCGTGTGCCGGTGGAATTCCCCCACAGCGGCATTTCTGCAGACACAAATACGCCTCTATCAGGATAATTTATCCTTGAGAATGCACTTGGAGGGACAGTTTAATGAAGAGGAGTTGCCGCCTGCCTAGAGACTTCCAGAGCGTGCTTCTCAAACCTTACTGGGTGTGAGAACGCAGTGCTGATGCTCCAGAGCTTAGAATGGATCCAGTTGTTAATGCCCTTCTGACAGGAGCCCTGAACTCTGTTTATTTATGAGAAAACTTCACAGAGATGCTGCCCCGAGGTTTTTGGGGCAGAGCAGCCGGGATGCCGCGCACAGAGCCCTCCTGCGGGGCTGGCAGAGATGCTGCCCCGAGGTTTTTGGGGCAGAGCAGCCGGGATGCCGGGCACAGAGCCCTCCTGCGGGGCTGGCAGAGATGCTGCCCCGAGGTTTTTGGGGCGGCGCAGCCGGGATGCCGCGCACAGAGCCCTCCTGCGGGGCTGGCAGAGATGCTGCCCCGAGGTTTTTGGGGCAGAGCAGCCGGGATGCCGGGCACAGAGCCCTCCTGCGGGGCTGGCAGAGATGCTGCCCCGAGGTTTTTGGGGCAGAGCAGCCGGGATGCCGCGCACAGAGCCCTCCTGCGGGTGCCTGGGGGCAGCTGGTGCAGGAGCCCCTCGCGGAGGCCGGAGCTGCCCGTGCCCTGGGAGGCTCGGTGCCCATCCTTGTGGGCTCCTCTGCCTGCACAGGAGCCACGGAGCCCCCTCAGCCCGCAGCTCCACAGGGCTGATCTGGCCACCAAAGGCTCTGCTGTCTGCTCCCTGCCCCACACGCAGCTCAGCTGCCACGCCACCGTTCTCACCTGGGACCCGCGGTGCTGCACCAGTTTCGTTGTTCTCTTGCACGGGGTGATTGGGAATTTGCACAGAATTGTTTTGTGTTGCACTGTATAGCTTATGTTACATCATGTGGTTTGTTATCCCTCTCCCCATCTCCTGGTCTTTCCCCCACCCACCCCAGTACCCCCGGGGGTCTCTGCCCTGGGTCACCCCTCCCCTCACACTCCTCACTGGTGTCCCACTGGCTGTGGACTCTCCCTCTGTCCCCATCCCAGGGTATAAAAGCTCCCTGCCATGAGGGAGCTCTCTCTTTCCTCCCCAGGGTTTGTCTGCCTGATGTGTGTCTTGGAATAAAGGACAACGTTTCCCACGTGGAGAGGAGCACTTCTCAATCTTTTACCTTCATCTATGAATTATCGTGTGGGCAAGGGTCTGTAGCTAGCCAGAGTGGACCCCAGCAGCCCAGGAAACTCGATTCTTCAGGGACCTTGTCATGAAGGCCTCAGTTTTCACTGGGCTCACGAAGTCCTGAGTTTTCACTGTTTCACTGGGATCTCTGTGGTCACAAAGTCCTCGTTTTTCACTGTTTAATTGGGATCTTGTCATGAAGCCCTCAGTTCTCACTGTTTCACTGGGATCTCATTAGGAAGTCCTCGGTTCTCACTGTTTCATTGAGATCTCTGTGGTCACAAAGTCCTCATTTTTCACTTTTTCATTGGGATTTCTGTGGTCACAAAGTTCTCATTTTTCACTTTTTCATTGGGATTTCTGTGGTCACAAATCCTGAGTTTTCACTTTTTAATCAGGATCTCAGGATCTCTAAAGTCCTTTGTTTTCACTTTTTCATTGGGATCTTGCTATGCAGTCCTTGGTTCTCACTGTTTCATTGGGATCTCATTAGGAAGTCCTTGGTTTTCCCTGTTTCATTGGGATCTCATTAGGAAGTCCTTGGTTTTCCCTGTTTCATTGGGATCTCATTAGGAAGTCCTTGGTTCTCACTGTTTCATTGGGATCTCATTAGGAAGTCCTTGGTTTTCCCTGTTTCATTGGGATCTCATTAGGGAGTCCTTGGTTCTCACTGTTTCATTGGGATCTCATTGGGAAATCCCTTGTTCTCACTGTTTCACTGGGATCTCATTAGGAAGTCCTTGGTTTTCCCTGTTTCATTGGGATCTCATTAGGAAGTCCTTGGTTTTCCCTGTTTCATTGGGATCTCATTAGGAAGTCCTTGGTTCTCACTGTTTCATTGGGATCTCATTAGGAAGTCCTTGGTTTTCCCTGTTTCATTGGGATCTCATTAGGAAGTCCCTTGTTCTCACTGTTTCATTGGGATCTCTGTGGTCGCAAAGTCCTCGTGTTTCAGTTTTTCACTGGGATCTCTGTGGTCACAAAGTCCTCGTGTTTCAGTTTTTCATTGGGATCTCGATGGTCATGAAGTCCTCGGCCAGCGTCACCTCCCGGTCCCCCATCACGGCCTCGGCCTCCCTCCTGAGCGTGCCGAGCTCCTCGTGGCCGCCGTGGGGCTCGCCGGGCCGGTACCGCTGGCTGAAGTGGGTCAGCACCAGCCTCGTGGCGCGGCAGCCGCGGGCGAACGCCGCGGCCGTGCCGGGGGTGCTGTGCCCGCGCTGGCGCGCCTTGTCCCGCTGGCTGTCCCCCAGCGTGGCCTCGTGCACCAGCAGGTCTGCGCCCCAGCAGAGCCGCGCGGCCCCCGGCCCCACGGGCCCCGCGCAGTCGCCCAGCACGCAGACCTTCCTGCCCGGAACCGGCGGCCCCAGCACGTCGCCGGGATGTATCCGCGCCCCGTTCTCCAGCACGATGACTTCGCCGCTCTTCACCTTCCCGTACAAGGGACCTGGCGGGACCCCTGGCAGGAAAAGGCAGAACAGCCCGTAAGTGATGCGCCAGTCATGTCATTGCATCAGTGCCAGCTCTGAAAAACGCCACCTGGGGTGTGCTGGACATACCGCTGACTCACCGGAAAAAAGCACAACCTCCGAGTAAAAATCGGTTGGTATTTCAGATTTTTCGTACAAATTAAGAGCTTGTAACCTGAGCAGGAAGTGTGTTTGAAGAAAATCATGGAATCCTAGAATGGCCTGGGTTGGAAGGCATCTCAAAGTTCATCCTGCTATGGGCAGGGACACCTTCCACTGTCCCAGGGTGCTCCAGCCTGGGCTTGGACACTTCCAGGGATGGGGCAGCCACAGGGAAACTGCTCAGGGAAACTATATCAAAAACCCCCAGTTATACTGCTCGTATTAAAGTCAAGAAAATAATGAAAATTCACTGGCCATATGTTTCTGAAAGCCACGCTGAGCTGTTTAGACTTTGGCACCTGAACTCGTCTGCTGTTCCCAGCATGACGGGGGTCTGTGGTATTCCCTGGCACCGGTGATATTCCCTGTTACACACCGGTTCAGAGTGCAGCTCGGAGGTCAGGTGCCAAAATGTCTTCGACAGAAAATGGAAAATTGAGTTAAAACAGGCTACGGAGAGAGACAGCAGCTTGGATTTGCTAGAACACATAGGAAGGTGGTCATAAAAGAAGTAAAAAGAGGAAAAATAAGTAAAAGTAGCTACCAAGCTCTTGCAGTGTCTGCACATTGAGCTTCCCAGGCCGGGGCTTCTCTTCCAGCACGAAGCCGAAGGAGGGCACGCGGTGGAAGAGGCGGAAGGCTCTCACAACCAGCTGCTCATCCTCCAGCAGCAAGTAGGAGTCTTCTTCTGGATCCAGGTGCAGAACTCTCCCTGGAGGCGCCTGGGCAAGCGCCTCGTCTCGGTCCAAGCCAGAGAAGTCCCTAAATTCTTCTGGGGGGCACTGGTCCCGCGTGGGGACCAGCTCGGTGACGGTGTAGGGCAGCAGGGGCTGGGAGTGGGAGAGCTCCAGGCTCCTCCAGAGGAAGCTCCGCAGCCCCAGGGGCCCGTAAATATCAATGGGTGCCTTGCTGCCATCAGGGCTCGTCTGGAGGCTGAGCGTGCACAGCAGCCCAGGAAGTCCAAAAATGTGGTCACCGTGAAGGTGAGTGATGAAAATCTTGGTAATTCTGGCTGTTGAATAGAACAGGAAAAGATAGGAAAGTGAACAATGTGACAGCTCAGAAATGACCGCTGTTTGGCAAGATGTTTGAAACAAGCGAGGAGGGAGGGAAATTAAAACCAGTGCTTAACAGACAAATCCCAAACCACAAGGTTATTTCTTTCCCCACCCCCTCCACACAAGGAAGATTTTGGCCTGATAGGCCAAGAAAAGGCTGCAGAGATGAAAGGTTTATCTCCTTCTAAGCCAGGCATTCTACAATGGTGACATCTGCCATGTGAAATGCAAGGAAGTGATGGGAAGCATTGGAGCTTCAGTCTTACAGGAAAACTGTAGACTAATGAGGAACACAGTGAGCAATTTGTGTTGCTCCTCCTTTTGACTCCAGCCCATGAAATGATCAAAATCAAGAGGAACCAAAACCAAACCAGCATGCAGTTTTGATTTCAGAGTTTTTTAAGAGGCAAGAACCCCACCATTGCTGACTGGTTTGTTTAAAACAAGAGAAAAAATTGCTCTGTAAATGTCTGGGCTTTCTTTGGTGCCTGGGCTGTCCTGCCCCAGCTGGGTCCTGCCCTCGCTGGGTCAGAAGAGCCCAGAACTCTCTCGCTGCAGACAATGTCCTTTAACCAGGCTGCCTCTGTCTCCTCTGCTGAACTCCCACTTCCACAGAGCCAGGCACCTGCTGGGGCTGTGCCACGGGAATGACAGAATCTCCGTTTCTTTTAAGATAAATTCAGTAAGCAATTTTATGGAAATTACTCCATCTACCTGTCATTAAATTCCCTGATATGTTTTGGAGGAGCAGTGGCTTGTATTTTTGTTTGTAACTGACAATTCATCTCCATTCTTTGGGGGAGAGAAGTCAGCTCTGGCCACTGAGGACTGTGGAAGCACAGTGACTGTGACAGCGAGGTGAGCTTTATTCCTGATTTATTTGCCAAAAGGTGAAAGTTACCCCCAATACATACAGCCTCGCTTGAAAAGAGACATTTACCCCCAGGAAGGCTCAGCGCAGGTTTGTCTAGAGCTACCTCCAGGCAAACAACAAACAAACCGTTCCTGTTTTCAGCTGCTCTGCGGGCGCGTTTGACATTGCCAAGCCCGGTGAATGAATTCAGATTGTCTGCGGGAGGCAGCTCAGTGCCGAGGGCTGCGGAGCAGGCTGGGCAGCCTCCCGAGCCCGTCCCTCCGCTCAGGAGAACGGCACAAACCTGCTCGCAGGTGGCTCTTCATGAGCTGTGTCTGCGTCCCCTCGCCGCAGTCGAAGAGCCAGCACTGCCCTTCCCTGCGCAGCACCAGCGCCGAGGCTCCGCGGCACGGCGACGGGAAAGCCGAGCCCGTGCCCAGGAAGGTGAGCTCCAGAGACATCCCGGGCAGCAGGCACCTGGAACACGGACCGGGGGTGTGCTGGGACACAGCAGGCACTGCTGGGACACAGAGCACAGAGCAGGCACTGCTGGGACACAGAGCTGGCACTGCTGGGACACAGAACACAGAGCTGGCACTGCTGGGACACAGAACACAGAGCTGGCACTTTGATGTATTTGTGCAGGGAAACCAACAAATACTGTCTGAAGTGAAGGCATCCTCCACAGTTCAGTGTGAGGGTAAAATTCCCTTTCCCTTCAAACATAAAAGCAAAACCTGCCTAGAGCAGGATTTGACTTTCAGACAACACATTCTTTACAAGCAGAGATTTCCTTCTTCTGTCACTGGAAGATTGCAAACACACAGCCCAAGCACTAGACCTGTGTGGATTCCCAAAGAAAACAGCCCCATCCAGCTGGAACAGCTCTAAGCTCTAGCCCCACCATTATTTATTTCCTCTGAGCTGTTTAAATGTTGGGTTTTCCTGCGTGAGCCTTCCCTCTAGGAGCTTTTCAGGATGAGTTTCATGGAACAGTCTCTGCTGACATTCAAACACCATTCCCGGATTCCAGGAGATGCAGAGGGGGAAGGGTCACTTCCCCCAGAGCACCTTCAGAGCCCACGAAAGCAGGGGTGACCCGAGAGCACAGGCCAGGCCAGGGAACACCTGTTTCCCCCAAACATCTGTGCCCCAGCTGTTGAGGTGTCTGTGACAGTGTCGGGATGAGGAGCCTGGCTGGTCTGCAGGGCTGGACAGCCTTGGGACAGCAGTGCCCACATGGCAACCCCCTGCTCTCTCACCGCATGGAGTGGGATTCCTCCAGCCCTAGTCTTCCCAGAATCTGCTCCTGCCTTCTTTTGAGAAGGATTTAAAATTCCAGGTGCCTTAACATCTTCAGAGAGCTTTCAAAATAATTTCTCAAGTTCAGTTGTTTTTAGATGAGTTTCCACAACCTTCCAGTTTTTCTCCCCTGGCAGGGTGGGCAGGCCCTGGCACAGGGTGCCCAGAGCAGCTGTGGCTGCCCCTGGATCCCTGGCAGTGCCCAAGGCCAGGCTGGATGGGGCTTGGAGCAATTTGGGACAGTGGAAAGTGTCCCTGCCCATGGCTGGGGGTGGAACAGGATGGGCTTTGAGATCCCTCTAACACAAAGCATTCCAGGATTCTGGAATTCCAAAAGAAAGCACTCTTCCCAGATGGGCCAGCAGGGTCCTCCCAGGCACGCCAAGGTGCAGCCCGACCTTGGGGGCTCAGGGGGAGTAGCCATGGTTCATGTCCATCTCAGACCAAATGCAGAAATAAACACTTTGCAAATATTTGCGTTTTCCTTTTCCTCTGTGCAAAATCATACAAGATCATACAAGAATTGAATGGTTTGGGTTGGAAGGAATCTTGAAAATACTTGTACTCCAGCCTCCCTGCCATGGGCAGGGACACCTTCCCCTGTCCCAGGCTGCTCCAAGCCCCGTCCAGCCTGGCCTTGGGCACTGCCAGGGATCCAGGGGCAGGTCGTTTACATTCCCTTCCAACTCAAACCATCCTCTGATTCCATGATTCTAGGAAAAGACCTTAAAGATCATCACATCCAACCATTTACAGAGCTCCTTGGCAAAGGGACTTTTCCCAGTCCTGAACAGATCAAGCATTTTTGGGTTTTGGTTTGTTTTTTTTTTTTTTTCAGAATAAAAACGATCAGGTACGACTTAGGCAAAGGGAATGCATTTTACTAAGAAAATAGAAGACTAGAACACACATTTCAATAGAGTTACAACGTTATAAAGTAGGAAGAAACCCCAACCACTTCACATTTGACATACAGTTTTAGTTTCAGCTGAGCAATGACCCTCCCAGGCACAGCCAACCCCGCACAGATCAGGCTGGAACTGTTCTCACAAGCGCCCCAGCAGGCTCACATTGATTTGCATAAGGTAGATATGTTTAATACAGAAATAAATGCAGGTTATTTTGCTGTTGTGTTGACAAGGCAGCCATCTTAAGTCCTAAGAGTGTTTTTATTCCATTAGGAAGGGTGTGGTTGACGAACGGATGAGCCGAAGCCGATGGCGCGTGGAGAGCTGAGCTCAGCCTGGCTGAGCCCCTCGTGTCTGGGGAGCACGACCAGGCAGCTCGGGCTGCTGCAGCACCAGCAGGGCACGGTGACAGAACCTGCCCGTCCAGCTGCAGCCGCGGTGCCCGGGTGAGCCCTGCCATCCCCACGGAGAACGGGAGGCGCGGGGAAGCCGTGCTGCATCGTCCCGGGCGCTCGCCCGGAGTCCCACGGGAGCGCACGGGGCAGGCAGGTCCACACGGAGTCGGTCAGATGTGCCTTCAGCAGCAGCAGCTGAACGGCTTTGCCCAAATTCAGCTGCCAAGCCAGTGCAGCAGAGCTTGGCTCTGGATTTGCTCCTCCCGTGTAACCAGCCGTGGCTGCAACGGAGCGGGGCAGCGCTCGGATCATCCCGCAAGCAGAAATGACGGTGGTTTATCCAGCTGGAAGCACTCGCAGTGAGACAGCCCCGGCTGTTCTCACACTGATCTGAGCCACAGACAGCTCTGTGGGACCAGAGAGGAGCTCAGCTCTGCGGGGCCACAGAGGAGCTCAGCTCTGAGGGGCCACAGAGGAGCTCAGCTCTGCGGGGCTGGCAGAGGAGCTCAGCTCTGCGGGGCCACAGAGGAGCTCAGCTCTGCGGGGCCACAGAGGAGCTCAGCTCTGCGGGGCCACAGAGGAGCTCAGCTCTGCGGGACCACAGAGGAGCTCAGCTCTGCGGGGCCACAGAGGAGCTCAGCTCTGCGGGGCCACAGAGGAGCTCAGCTCTGCCCCTCTGCAGCCAGCCCCGGCTGTTCTCACACTGATCTGAGCCACAGACAGCTCTGCGGGATGGCAGAGGAGCTCTGCCCCTCTGCAGCCAGCCCCAGCAAACAAAACCAGCCGGTACCTCCGGCGCCGGAGTCAGCTGAACTGAAACCTGGGTGGGAGCTGTACAATAGTGATCCCCACTCTCCCACAGGAACAGTCACCACGGAGGGCTGCTAAAGATTGAAACTAAAAGGTGTATCGTTCATCTTGGCAGGTACTACCAGAGGAGTGTGACAGAGTTACTTTATCCCCGTAAAACAGCGTGCTGGAAACAACAGTACAAGAGGAAGACACGCACCGACCACAGGAAACCTGTTACACACCACTCTGCAGGTAAAGTGTCACTTGGTTTGAAGCTTGGAAAAGGAACACAACAGATCAGGATGCATCACTGTCCACAAATGTAACCCAGAACTTGTGCCACGTGTCACACCGGGGGTTTAAAATGTATCAGACACAACATTTTAATTGTCTCCTACAGGTCAGGTTGGCAGAGGCTTCAGGAACACACAAACCTTTGCAACATCTTTAACAAAACCACAGGTATTTTAAAAAGAAAGGCTGTGCTTCATTAGATATCTTTACTCCCAAACACTCCTACAGGCTGCTGCCAAGAGGCTCAGTCCTGCTCCTGCTGATTTTAAGAAAGCAAGGATTGGACAAATCCTGGAAAAGACTGACCTCAGTGAAATTCCTGATCCTCCCAGAAGGGTTCTGCACACCCCAAGGAGACATGGAAGACAGTCTTTTATAAAACCATTTGGAGGGCAAGTCACGGGGGCTGTGTGACAAACTACTACACTGGTGGTCCTTTAGGTGATGTATTCTTTTAACTTACATTATGTAACATGACAAAATGCATCCTGGTGACACCTGTTTCCCTTTGCATACTGTCTAAGAGAATTTTCTGTACAGATAAAGACCAGTAAATATTTTGAATAAACCAGCAAACAGAAAAAATCATGTTATGTAGAATATGAAAAAGGAAACTGGTTCCTTAGTAGCCAGCAAGATTAGCAGTTGCAATTAGTTCAAGGATTAATTGTACCTGAAGGAAAACTGAACATGAATCTATGTATCTTAAAATCCTAAGTATGAAAAAAAAAATAATTCTGGAGAAGATGAAAGAGAGAGTGAAATGGACTCAGAACTGTGTGAGCTGACGGGTTACCTGTTGCACCCTGTCCACACTGCAAGCTGCAGAGGATCCTCAGAGCCCGGCCGACAGAGCCCGGGAGGCTGTGCCTGGCTCAGCTCCGGCTGGCAGGGGACAGAGCCAGCCACACCTCCAGCACAGTCCTCTCCTAGGGACTGCTTTTCCCTCACCTCTGCAGCGGGATTTCCAGAAGAATTGCTGTGCAGGAGCGCTAGAGCTCGGGGAAATCCCGCTGCCAGGACGGGGAAAACGCAGTCCGTGCGGGCAGCGGCCGGGAGAGCAGGGAGGCAGTGCCAGAAGGGCCAGGGCTGCTCAGAGCAGCTCCCGCACAGGAACGGCATCACTCCTGCCTGGAGCACGGCCCGGCCTCCCCCGAGCGCTGCCAAGGGCTGCGGACACCAGCTGAGATCCTTGGAAACAACACAATCAGACTGAAGGGGCGGGCACGGATCCTTGCCTCCCAAGGCAGAGCCAGCAGCGGCTGCCCTGCCTCTGTGGTCACTGTGGGACTGAGATCAGTGCGTTTTGGGTGCTTTTGTTACTCATCTAACTGGCTGCTGGCAGAAGGGAGGAAGCGTGTGTTCCCAGCACTCCGGAATCCAGTGATGCAGAACTCCACTGGCACAATACAACAGGCTTCAGATAGAGCTGGATTTTCAGAAGGCAAAAATAATTCATACATTGAATAAATAATTTCTCTTTCATTAAGATCACTAATTTAAATACGGTACAAACAAGGCATAGCAAAAATAGATGAAAAAAGCACTCTTTGTAAAAACACCCTATGTGTGTGTTGGTGTCTTTTGTACATTCACTTGCAAGTGCAAGCTCGTGCCCGTGTGCATGTCAGCACTCAGCAGTGAAGCACTTCGAGCCCCACCACACAACACTTTACCACAGCTTGAACACCACAGTTTTTTTCCCCACATCACTCTTTTCTGTGTTTATATAATCAGTCTTCTTTCCCCACACAGGCAGCACCTTCCCAAAGCTTACTGTTCTTTGTGTGAACACAATTTTAGAGCCAGAGATTAGGCTGTGGGCGCCTGAGGGGGCATTTAGACCATTTTCCCTGCTCTGTTCTGGCCTGTTCTGTGGAGACTGCATTTTCCTGTGTAATTGAGGGTAGGAGAGCAGTGCTTGCCATGGGTAAATCCTGAGCAAGCTCTGCTTTATCTCTTTGGATGATGTCTGCCAGTACAGCACTGCTGGCACATCCGTCTGTTTATTTACTCCCGCCCTTTTCCTGCCTTGCTGCAGCAAACTGGAGCAGCCTGGTGTCTTTATTTCTGTTCCTGGCAGGTGGCTGTTCTGGCTGCAGGGAGCACAGGCGGGGCAGCCACGGGCTGTGGCCACCTCTGGGTGTCCCTGCCTGTCCCCCTCTGGCCTGGCTCCAAGGCAGCTGGGGGAGTGTACACTGTGGCACCTGCAGCAAACGTGCAGCACTACCCCTGGCAAGGAAAAACTCACTGGGAGCTTCTGCTTTCACACCAGGACCTGACAAAGCAGGCCTGTAAGTGCAGCAAGTTGGAGTGATCAGGACGGGGCTTGCAGCACTGCATGCTGTGGGTCCAGCACCCACGCTGACCAGAGCACGGACTGAGACCTCAGGAAGCATTCAGCCAGACTCCTGTGGATAGCTGCCTGACAACATCCCTGCTGCAGCCCCAGCAGCTGCCCACGGCGTGCTGGTTCCAAGTGACTCCACTTCGGAGCTCTCGAGTCAGCAGTGTCATAAAACATCACACGTGAGTCTTTTTGTGAGAGCAAGGGAGAAAACAACCTGGCTTAGACAAGACAGAATCTTGAAAAAATTAAAAAAATTAGGTAAAGATCCTTTGGTACATCATTTCGCTGTCCATTGCTTAAAATCTCCTAGTAAAATCTCTAAAAAGATTTCCATAAATTACTTCAGGTCCTACCTCTACCCAATAAAATTTATTCTGTGACACTATGGCTTTGTTTTAAAAAGCTATTAAGTGATTAGTATTACTTTCAGGCTTCCCAAGGACAATTTGAACGAGCCCACATTTTTCCTGAGAACAGATTTCACGGAGTGATGAACACAAAGCTGCAAACTTTGCTGCAGACCCCACACGTGTACATCTCGCTGCTCCTCAAGGAAACAGCAGCCAACGCCACCAGGATGCCTGGACATGGGCATCTTTAAACATTAAACAAAACAGAAGGCCCATCACACTCTCCAAGTTGTCTTTAACTGCCCTTTTGTTTTTTCTACAACAAGTGTCTCCCCTTGATGTCACAGCTAATGCAGTGTGACAACACTAGGACAATTAGAAGACTGATTATTAAAGGCAGAAATAAATCATTCTGGAGATCAGCAGTGATGAGAGAGCTAGAGTTCATCATGAAACAGATGTAGCTAAAATATCATTAATGGAATTCTTCGGTGTGGTGCTGGCTCTAAGCTAGAAATGCAATGTTATTGTTTAAATTAATTTTGGAGGGCTCTCTCATCCCTGTGGCAGATGCCATCATCCGTACAGTTTATCAGGTACTTGGGAGAAACCAGGTGAAAAACCGGGGAGAAAAAACAAAAACCAGGCAACGAAAGGAGCGCAAATAAATTAGAGGAGTGACAGATCATGATTACAGTTGGTCTGAGGAGGGGATCCCTGCAGAGTAGAGGCGCTGCCCGAGGAGCGGGCGCGGGGCTGTCAGTGCACCTTGGACTCGGGCCAGTCGTACACGTCCGGCATGAAGGACTCGTACTCGTAGGTCCAGACCTTGGAGCGGATGTAGCGGCTCTTGTCGGCCGGCTCGGGGTAGTGGAAGGCCATGTTGTTGGCGTACAGGAACTCCATCACCTGCGGGGAGAGCGCCGCTCTGAGCCCGGGGCACGCGCAGCCAGGGAGCGCGGCCTCCTTCGGGACACAAAAGCTGGCTGGCAAGCAGAAGGGAGCAGAAAAGCTGCTGACAGACAAGGGGGGGTCCAGCCGAGTAAATGGTGCTTACAGCTTCTACCAATTAATTAGTAAAAAGATGCCTGCTTGCCTCGTGGGCAAAGCAGAGCTACCAGTCGAGGGATGCATGGGCAATGCAGAGCTGCCAAACAATGCATGGGGCAAAGCAGAGCTGCCAAACAATGCATGGCCAATGCAGAGCTGCCAAACAATGCATGGGCAATGCAGAGCTGCCAACCAAACAATGCATGGGCAAAGCAGAGCTGCCAACCAAACAATGCATGGGCAATGCAGAGCTGCCAAACAATGCATGGGCAATGCAGAGCTGCCAAACAATGCATGGGCAATGCAGAGCTGCCAAACAATGCATGGGCAAACCAGAGCTGGCAACCAAACAATGCATGGACAATGCAGAGCTGCCAACCAAACAATGCATGGGCAATGCAGAGCTGCCAAACAATGCATGGGCAATGCAGAGCTGCCAAACAATGCATGGGCAATGCAGAGCTGCCAACCAAACAATGCATGGCCAATGCAGAGCTGCCAACCAAACAATGCATGGACAATGCAGAGCTGCCAAACAATGCACGGGCAAAGCAGAGCTGCCAACCAAACAATGCATGGGCAATGCAGAGCTGCCAAACAATGCATGGGCAAAGCAGAGCTGCCAAACAATGCATGGACAAAGCAGAGCTGCCAAACAATGCATGGGCAATGCAGAGCTGCCAAACAATGCATATGCAATGCAGAGCTGCCAACCAAACAATGCATGGGCAATGCAGAGCTGCCAACCAATGCATGGGCAAAGCAGAGCTGCCAACCAAACAATGCATGGGCAGTGCAGAGCTGCCAAACAATGCATGGGCAATGCAGAGCTGCCAACCAAACAATGCATGGGCAAAGCAGAGCTGCCAAACAATGCACGGGCAAAGCAGAGCTGCCAGTCAAACAATGTATGACTGTGTAAACCAAGGTGAGATGTAAATATAAACAATGTTTAGAACCACAATAAATGGCTTTTGCTTAATTAATATTGAATCTGCAGAGTCCTTTGTCTTCTCAGCGCCTCAGTGTCTTTACATCCACCGCTGGGATCTCAAAACTGAATTTCAGGAATCAGAGGGGAGTAATTTTGGCCCATCATGGCTACCAAGCGGAAGCATCCAACAAAGGGAACATTTTTATACACTTCTCTTATTGCAGGCACAAAGAAATGGGTGTTTCCCAAGCACCTTGTATTCAAGGGTCACACTGTGCAACTCAGCAGGTTAATGTACACATAAACCACTTTTAGTGCAGTGCAATTCTATATTTCATACTCACCTTGACAGCAATATAAATAGAAACTTCCCTGATATTGGACAGTGGAGGATAAAGTCTTCCTTGTGCAAGCTCTTCATCTGTCAACTGTTCTGCCAATGCCTGAGTCAGAGAAACAAACACGTTTTATTTACTGCACCCCAAGTGTGACTAATAACGTGCCAGAGCACCTGAGAGAATCAAGCTGCAGTGCTCTTGGCACCAGAGTGCTCCCAAAGCACTGGAGTGAGGCACTCAGGATCTCAACATTTCAGTCTGAGGAACTGAGAATCACCACACTGACTGCAAGCATTTAGCAAAACGAGCTCTGATATTTTGGGAGATGAATCCCCCACAGCCACAGAAACCCCTGGGCACAGAGCCAGCTGCAGAACCCAGGGCAGGGCAGGGCAGGGCAGGGCACAGCCCTGCTGCCACAGCAATTCACACAGGGACACACTTGCTACTTGGTCACAACTGCCATGGAACCCGATTCTTGGCACAACTTCGTCGGCTCAAAACACTTTTTTTTTCCCCACTGTGGAGGGACACACCAACAGAAACCAAACAGGAAACCACTGTGCTTCACCAGGACTTGAGAGAAGTGCCCATCAAGTCATCCGTGTCGTGCCAGAAGCCACAGCCTGCCCTGCTCCCAGACTTACCTTGGCAGCCTCCAGGAAAACCTTATCACTGATGTGCCGGACGCTGCTGAGGATCACAGCCAGAGCCACGCCTAAAGGAAATCACTGCCAGTTAGGGCCACGTCTCTCTGAACGTGCAGCCTGCTGCCAGGAGCTGCCAGTCAGCTCCAGCGCTATCCCTGAAACCCTTCCCGCAGCTTTCTGCACACACTGACAGAGCCGGGGGATGGCTCGGGTTGAAGATCAGCATCCCAGCCCCGCCTCGGCAGGGACCTTCCACACTCACAGCACTGCCACCAGCGGTGCGGCCACTGGCACGGCAGGAGCCTTCTAGAAGGGTGTCCTGGGTTGACTATATGATGCTTTTATGCTGGAGCTTTGCAGCCTGGGGAGGGAAGGGGAAGGCACAGGAACATCCCCAGTGCTACTTTCCTACCCGCCTTGTGCAGATCCAACTTCAATAACTATTAACTCTGAGAGTTATTAACATAACTCCAACTGCATGTTAACATCAATTTTCTCCTTTCCTCCCCGAACAAGCAGCAGAACCATAACGCAGCAGCTCCCAAAGCCTTTAATAACAGCCTTCTGTTTTCTCAGGGACATCCAGCTGGGTTTGCTCACTGTGGATGCATGTGCCCCACATCCAGCCTGAGCTGTCATCCAGCCACTCATTTCTCCAAGCTCTCAAATGCTGGCATCACCTCGGCATGCTCCATCACTAACTGCCTCGTGCAGCAAGGGAGCCCAGGGAAAGGTGCAGGCAGCCCAGTCTTAGAGATTAAAGGGTGATTAAAGTTTCATTTATTACCTGGAAAGATGTAAGCGTTGTTTCCTTGGCCCGGTTTGAAGGTTCTTCCATCCTTCAGAGTGACCAGCTCGAAGGGGCTGCCGCTGGCAAACAGGCACCGGCCCTGGCGGGAGGAAAGGAGGAAGGGTCGGTGTGGCAGCTGGGCAGGGACAGAGCCTGGAGCTGCCACCGGAGCCAGGGGCCACCAGGGGACAGGGGACACTGATCACCCTGCCGTGAGCACAGCACAGGGACACTGATCGCCCTGCCGTGAGCACAGCACAGGGACACTGATCGCCCTGCCGTGAGCACAGCACAGGGACACTGATCGCCCTGCCGTGAGCACAGCACAGGGACACTGATCGCCCTGCCGTGAGCACAGCACAGGGACACTGATCGCCCTGCCGTGAGCACAGCACAGGGACACTGATCGCCCTGCCGTGAGCACAGCACAGGGACACTGATCGCCCTGCCGTGAGCACAGCACAGGGACACTGATCGCCCTGCCGTGAGCACAGCACAGGGACACTGATCGCCCTGCCGTGAGCACAGCACAGGGACACTGATCGCCCTGCCGTGAGCACAGCACAGGGACACTGATCGCCCTGCCGTGAGCACAGCACAGGGACACTGATCGCCCTGCCGTGAGCACAGCACAGGGACACTGATCGCCCTGCCGTGAGCACAGCACAGGGACACTGATCGCCCTGCCGTGAGCACAGCACAGGGACACTGATCGCCCTGCCGTGAGCACAGCACAGGGACACTGATCGCCCTGCCGTGAGCACAGCACAGGGACACTGATCGCCCTGCCGTGAGCACAGCACAGGGACACTGATCGCCCTGCCGTGAGCACAGCACAGGGACACTGATCGCCCTGCCGTGAGCACAGCACAGGGACACTGATCGCCCTGCCGTGAGCACAGCACAGGGACACTGATCGCCCTGCCGTGAGCACAGCACAGGGACACTGATCGCCCTGCCGTGAGCACAGCACAGGGACACTGATCGCCCTGCCGTGAGCACAGCACAGGGACACTGATCGCCCTGCCGTGAGCACAGCACAGGGACACTGATCGCCCTGCCGTGAGCACAGCACAGGGACACTGATCGCCCTGCCGTGAGCACAGCACAGGGACACTGATCGCCCTGCCGTGAGCACAGCACAGGGACACTGATCGCCCTGCCGTGAGCACAGCACAGGGACACTGATCGCCCTGCCGTGAGCACAGCACAGGGACACTGATCGCCCTGCCGTGAGCACAGCACAGGGACACTGATCGCCCTGCCGTGAGCACAGCACAGGGACACTGATCGCCCTGCCGTGAGCACAGCACAGGGACACTGATCGCCCTGCCGTGAGCACAGCACAGGGACACTGATCGCCCTGCCGTGAGCACAGCACAGGGACACTGATCGCCCTGCCGTGAGCACAGCACAGGGACACTGATCGCCCTGCCGTGAGCACAGCACAGGGACACTGATCGCCCTGCCGTGAGCACAGCACAGGGACACTGATCGCCCTGCCGTGAGCACAGCACAGGGACACTGATCGCCCTGCCGTGAGCACAGCACAGGGACACTGATCGCCCTGCCGTGAGCACAGCACAGGGACACTGATCGCCCTGCCGTGAGCACAGCACAGGGACACTGATCGCCCTGCCGTGAGCACAGCACAGGGACACTGATCGCCCTGCCGTGAGCACAGCACAGGGACACTGATCACCCTGCCCTGAGCACAGCACAGGGGACACTGTTCACCCGCTTGGAGGGACTGTCACAAGCAGGCCTGGTGTGTACAGCTCCACACACAGATTGCAGCCCTTGTGTGTTTACCTTTGCCAACACCTCAGCCCCACTGCAGCCCTGCTGTGTTAACCCTTACCAGCACCACTGCAGCCCTGCTGTCCCTGCTGTGTTAACCCTTACCAGCACCACTGCAGCCCTGCTGTTAACCCTTACCAGCCCCACTGCAGCCCTGCTGTGTTAACCCTTACCAGCACCACAGGCCAGACCCCCAGGGACCCTGCAGACTCAGGAGTGACGGCCACTGCCAGAGCAGGGTGGAGCACAAGTGGGAATAAAAGGTCACTGTCTTACTGGAGGGTGGGAGGGCAGAGGGAGGAGCTGCTGTGTCTGACTGCTGCTGCTGAGAGCAACCAGAGCAGTGAATAATGTGGTTTGCTTAGCCTTCCTTTGGAAAGGATTTCGATTTGCACTAAATATCAAAACGTATCTGAGTGTGATAAATGAGATAAATGACCCTCTTCTCAAGCAGTAAAGCCACGGAAAGCAAAAAAATCTTGACTTTCTTTTGAGTAACAGGTTTAGGAATATGAGTTTAAAACTTTTAAGGCTCCCCAGGATTAGTGTTTGAAAACAAATTACCAAAGTGGCTGAAGGCTTTGGAGCTGTGTTTGGATGTCAGGGCACAGCCACGACCAGAAGCCTTTTTGTGGAGGGAGCAAAGCAGATGGCTGCAGGAGAGGACAGGACCAAGAGACAAAGCAAATTGAAAGGCAGCAGAAGCCCTCAGAACACACAGGAGCACCGACAGGCTTTTACAGGTGCCATCTAGTGGGAAAAAACGAGGCAGGAAAGGTCAGCGGTGGTGTCTTTGTTCCTTTGTTGCCTCTAGTGTAGCCTGAGTCACCAGCCAGGATCAGGCTGTCCCCCAGGCCTGGGGACACTGGGGTGACAGCTCTGATCCCTAACAGCCTGACAAACTGCATTAGCCACGGGACACCGCCAGTGAAGCTGGAGATTCCAGAGAACCACACAACAGTCAGGGCTCTGAGTCTATTTCCTAGGTAATTACTGCATCTTGAAGGGAAAACACATTTTGAAGGGCAAGCTAATGTCCAGCTGAGGACATTTCAGAGAACCAAAGAGCATGGTGAAAACAAAAGCGGGGCTGCAGGGAAGTTTGAAGAGACATAAACATTGCAGGATTTATGAGTAAGGACTGGAACAAAACTACACCAGTTCATTTACTACAGCAGTGCTTAATTGTCCAAATAACCCACGCCCACGAGTAACTGGGAACACAGAAAATCCTTAATACAAGAAAAAATTGACCCAATACAGGGAAAAACCCAAAGATCTCCTCTCCACTGGGCTCAAACTTTGCAAACAGCATTGTGCTCTTCCTGTGGGGCACAGGGAGCCTCTGCCCCTGCAGGGACAGCCATGCTGAGGGCCAGCTCCTTGGGGCTCAGCACTCAGCCATGGCAAACTCAGCCTCTTGCCTTAAAACATCTCTTCAGCTGCTGGTATTCCATTAGAAGTGCAAGCAAAAACTAGGCTGGCTCCCCCTCTAACTGTGCTCCTGGCCTCCTTCAGCTAGAGATGGCAGCAGTTTTTACATTTATTTATGCCAACTGAAGTCTTGGTTGCACAACTAACTCCTGTTTACCTTCTATCCAAGATACTGGAATTTATATACTGAAACACTGCCCAGCTCACTGTTCTGGTTAATGCAAGGTATCTGAGAGACATAAAACCACCTCAATTTAAAACTGTGTCCAGGGCAGGGAACGGGGCTGGGAAGGGGCTGGAGCCCCAGGAGAGGCTGAGGGAGCTGGGAAGGGGCTGAGCCTGGAGAAAAGGAGGCTCGGGGGGGACCTTGTGGCTCTGCACAGCTCCTGACAGGAGGGGACAGCCGAGGGGGTCGGGCTCTGCTCCCAGGGAACAGGGACAGGAGGAGAGGGAACGGCCTCAGGCTGGGCCAGGGCAGGCTCAGGGTGGACAGTAGGGAAAATATCTTCACCTAAAGGTCTCTCAATCCCTGGCACAGCTGCCCAGGGCAGTGAGGCAGTCCCCATCCTTGGAAGGGTTTAAAAGCCATGTGCATGTGGCACACAGGGACATGGGACAGTGGTGGCCTTGGCAGAGCTGGGGAATGGTTGGACTCGATGGCCTTGGAGGGCTGTTCCAACCCAGATGATCCCACTGATAAGAGATAAGATCCAGACTTTGTCCAGAGGCTGCTACTCCAGGGCTCCCTCTGAGCAGCAGTTCCCTGAGCTGACAGCCCCAGGAATGTGGGACAGAGCCCGGGTGTCAGATGGGGACAGTGGAGTGCCACCCTGGCAGGTGACACTGCCACTGCTGATGCTGAGCCCCGCGGGCAGTGCAAGGGGGAGTTCAGTCTGCAGCAGGAGACAAGGAAAGGTCCCCACCCACCCATTTTCACGCACCAGACACTAGATTTGGGACTGTATTGAAAGAAGAGAAATAGAAAAGAATGAATCCTCTCAGGATCCACAGCCCTGGAGGCTGCAGGCAGGGGCTGAGGCCAGCACAGAGACCCCAGCAGCTGCAGGAGAGGATCAGGAGCAGCACAGAGACCCCAGCAGCTGCAGGAGAGGATCAGGAGCAGCACAGAGACCCCAGCAGCTGCAGGAGAGGACCAGGAGCAGCACAGAGACCCCAGCAGCTGCAGGAGAGGACCAGGAGCAGCACAGAGACCCCAGCAGCTGCAGGAGAGGACCAGGAGCAGCACAGAGACCCCAGCAGCTGCAGGAGAGGACCAGGAGCTGCTCAGAGCCCCAGCTGTGTCTGTCCCACCTCCCTCCCCTCGGGCTCCCTGCAGAGGTCACCAGCCTGGCACAAGAACCTGTGCAGAGTGACAAAAGAGTGGCTTCCTAAAGGCTAAACCACTGTGGAGACGTGCTATCAGGATAATGGTGGAGCTACTAAGGAAAAACCAGCCCAAACCCTGAGTGCCAGCCCTGCAGGGTGCAGTGGCCCCAGGGGAGGGTGCAGAACCAGGTGTGTTTGCTCCTGGCTGACTCACTGCAACGCCTGGTGTGCCAGGGTGAGCTGTGGCAGGGACAGGGAGCACAGGGCCCCAGGGGTCACTGCTGGTGGCACCTGCAGGGGGAAGGGGCTGAGCCTGGAGAAAAGGAGGCTCGGGGGGGACCTTGTGGCTCTGCACAGCTCCTGACAGGAGGGGACAGCCGAGGGGGTCGGGCTCTGCTCCCAGGGAACAGGGACAGGAGGAGAGGGAACGGCCTCAGGCTGGGCCAGGGCAGGCTCAGGGTGGACAGTAGGGAAAATATCTTCACCTAAAGGTCTCTCAATCCCTGGCACAGCTGCCCAGGGCAGTGAGGCAGTCCCCATCCTTGGAAGGGTTTAAAAGCCATGTGCATGTGGCACACAGGGACATGGGACAGTGGTGGCCTTGGCAGAGCTGGGGAATGGTTGGACTCGATGGCCTTGGAGGGCTGTTCCAACCCAGATGATCCCACTGATAAGAGATAAGATCCAGACTTTGTCCAGAGGCTGCTACTCCAGGGCTCCCTCTGAGCAGCAGTTCCCTGAGCTGACAGCCCCAGGAATGTGGGACAGAGCCCGGGTGTCAGATGGGGACAGTGGAGTGCCACCCTGGCAGGTGACACTGCCACTGCTGATGCTGAGCCCCGCGGGCAGTGCAAGGGGGAGTTCAGTCTGCAGCAGGAGACAAGGAAAGGTCCCCACCCACCCATTTTCACGCACCAGACACTAGATTTGGGACTGTATTGAAAGAAGAGAAATAGAAAAGAATGAATCCTCTCAGGATCCACAGCCCTGGAGGCTGCAGGCAGGGGCTGAGGCCAGCACAGAGACCCCAGCAGCTGCAGGAGAGGACCAGGAGCAGCACAGAGACCCCAGCAGCTGCAGGAGAGGACCAGGAGCTGCTCAGAGCCCCAGCTGTGTCTGTCCCACCTCCCTCCCCTCGGGCTCCCTGCAGAGGTCACCAGCCTGGCACAAGAACCTGTGCAGAGTGACAAAAGAGTGGCTTCCTAAAGGCTAAACCACTGTGGAGACGTGCTATCAGGATAATGGTGGAGCTACTAAGGAAAAACCAGCCCAAACCCTGAGTGCCAGCCCTGCAGGGTGCAGTGGCCCCAGGGGAGGGTGCAGAACCAGGTGTGTTTGCTCCTGGCTGACTCACTGCAACGCCTGGTGTGCCAGGGTGAGCTGTGGCAGGGACAGGGAGCACAGGGCCCCAGGGGTCACTGCTGGTGGCACCTGCAGGACTGGTGCGAGCCCAGCTCCTGCCCTGCTGCGAGGGCATCACCTGCTCCAAGGACTCTCTCAGCCATTACACTGCAAAGCTTGCACTGAGTCTCTGCTGCGAGGCCAGCAGGCTTCATTAAAACACAAAACAACTGAAAAGAGCGGTGAGAAACAAGAGCTAATTGATCAAAGCCACGTCACAGTACTGCTGGTCATTCTCTTAAAAAAGCAGTAACACGATTCAGGCTATTGGAAGCTTTGCAAAACGTTGTCACACGAACATCCAGACCTCTTTTCCAACCATCCCCATTTACTTTAGCCAGGAGGCGAGGAAGAGCTGCGCTCTCACACCAGAGCCCAAGCAACAAGAGAACAGCCTGAGCCCTGGTGCTCGGGCAGCCCCAGCAGCCCCGAGCTCACACACCTCTGTCAGCGTGTAGGCCTCCTCTGCCGTGCACTCGGCCTTCACCGTGGGGTTGCTCAGTGCAAATATGATGGGTCGCTCGTTGATGGAAGCCATGGCTTTGAGCACGTCCTGGGTGAAGAGACGCCCTGCCCCAGCCACTCCTGGGGGAGAGGGGAACACACAAAACCAGAATCAAGGCTGGCTGCCCCAGGCAGGGACAGCCAGCCCACCCCAAGCTCATGGCAGCCCTCCAGCCTCCCCCCAGGGCACAGAGGAGACCAGGCACTGCTCCTGGCCGGGTGACACTCACACTTTCCACAGCAACATCTACTGAGTGTGCTCCAGAAGCTATTTCACACTGTTTTTTGGTATTGATGAGTATAAAGAACACGGTCCTAGATAAGCAAGTGGGAATTCCAGGCTCTTTGTGGATGATTCATCCCTGCTGGGTGTTAGCTGTGCAGTGCATACATGACACTGGTGCTCCTGACCACACCCAAACCCAGAGGTACAAACACACAGCTACGATGTATTTGTACAGTGGCTACAAGCTCCAGGGTACTCAGCCAAAAAACCCTCTCCTTTTCCAAATAGATCACGTGCCAAGGAAACGGCAGTCACACCAGGAAATACCTGTAATCCTGTCTGCTCTCTGCAGATAGCCAGAGCTGTAAATAAGTACCTACAGATGTCAGTGACCTCGGAGGTGCTGCTGAGCTGCAGCAGGGAGCTGCTGCTTCCAGCTGTGCTGCTGGCACAGTCTGACCACAGGGGGTGACTGGGGGACAGAAGGTCAGAAAACACCCAAACAACTCGAGTTAGGGAACTCCTGTAGAAAACACAATGGTTGTGGCTGCTCTCTGTCACTAAGGACACAAGGCTCAGAAGGAGCACAGTGTGTTTTCAAGTAGGAAATTGACCTCACATTTCCATCTTATTTACACCAGCAGACAGCTGTCACCAAGCTTCCCGGAGCCCTGACAGCAAATTAAAGGCAGTAAAAAGCCAGATTGTAGAAAAATAAGCTCACTCACCGATGATAGCTGAAGGCCGAAGTACATTCACTGCCTCTACAAATGTCTTTGGTATCTGCTCCGGAGCCGGATGTGTAAATGGCTCCTGGTGGGAATCCACCTTCTGCTCTCGGCCCTGCAGGTAAAACATTGGTTCCTCCTGTGAGGGGAGGGGAAGGCAGTGCTCACCTGTGCTGGGCATTCCCAGGTGTGCTGCACCCCTACCTGGACCAGCAAGCCATGCTTGTCGAACATCCATACTCTCTTGGAGGCCTCCTCGTGGGAAACACCGCCTTCCATCATGGCCATGACAATGAGGTTGGCAATTCCCAGGGCGGCCTGGCGGATGAAAGGACTGGGCTTTGGGACAGGTCACAGAAGAGGTCTGCCATCAAAGCCCACAGAGCCCCTCAGAGAGCCTGCTCTGAGACACAGGAGGTGTTTCCCCGCTGGGGCAGCCCCTGGGGCAGCAGTGACACACCTGCAGCAGGGCAGCTCTCCCAGGTGCTGCGAGCTGTGCCAGCTCAGCAGCCACGCCAGGCAGCCCAGCCCAGCAGGGACAGAAGTGCTCAGCCCTCCTGCCACCAAACCAGCCCGTGCCGTGTGCCCTGTGCTCCCAGCCTGCCCTCCTGCCCCAGGCAGGGCTGGCAGAGGGCAGCAGGAGGTGTGCTGGCCCTGTCCCCTCCCTGCCAGGACAAATGAGGCAGAGCAGGGCTCTCAGAGCACCCGCCAATTACTGCCACCAGGGCCTTTCCCCACATGGAGAACTTCTCAGATAATTAAGCCATTTTGTCAGCACCACAGGAGCAAGTGTGCTGATGTACCAGAAGCACGGGGCTGCTCCTGGCACTGCAGCACCAGTAGCTGGTGCCTGCTGCGAACTGAATCACCTTGCTGAGAAAAACTCCCTGGGCTTCCCTCTGGTGCTATAAAAATCAACAAGATGGTCTCACTACACCATGATTTCATGGTGAGTCTCCCTTCAAATACACACAAGTCCCTGGTGCTTTTTTCAAAGCCTTGCAGAGAAATGAAGAATGTGAATCCCTGCAAATGTTAAACACCTTTCACACAGCCCTGCTTAAGCAGAGCCCTTTCTGCTAATGCATTTCAGATGGCCTTATATGAAAAGTTCTGCAATGGAGCTCAGATCGTAACTCCACAATAAGAAAATACACAACGGCAAATCTCCACAATGAGAAAACACCCATTTTAAATATCTCTTGCTGCTCTGGGCCCTTAAGAGGACTCACCTCTCCTGCTCCAAGGAACAGCACTTTCTGCTCCGTGAGTGGTTTCCCCGTGGCTTTCTGGGCTGCCAGCAGTCCTGCCAAGGCCACCGAGGCTGTCCCTGCGAGAGCAGAGCAAATCTGAGGGCAGCTGAACACGTCCACATGGCAGGCCGTGCCTTTGGGAAGAGCTCCTGCACGGATACTCAGGAACACAAACAAAGGTGTACCTTGGATGTCGTCATTGAAGGTACAGTACTTCTCTCTGTACTTCCTCAGGAACCGGAAAGCATTGTGGTTTCCAAAGTCTTCAAACTGGATGAGCGTGTTCTGGCCATACCTAGAGGAGATGCAAACACCCCTGCTGGAAGCCAGGACACTCCTCTGGCTGCCCTGGGTGACACGTGCTTCAGGGCAGGAAGCCAAAGACATTTGGGATTTCGATCTTAACCCATGGAGCAAATCACCAACCTTGTGTGAAGAATCACAAGGCACAGAAGTTTAAGTAGAGTGATAATGAATTAATCACAGGGTGAAAAGTGGAATTTTGGGGGTTTTATTATAGGGGTCTAGGAGGCATGATGGAGGGACATGGGCATTGTCCTACTCTTCCTAGCCCCCATCTTCTGGGTGATGGTGGCACGTTTGGATTGGTTTAGAACAGAAGCAGACAGTCTAACATAGGTGATAGGTATTGGAAAATAATGATAAATAAAGTACACATAATTCATAGCTTAAAATGCAGACACCAGCCCAGGGGCAGGCAGTGTGCCCTTGACAGATCTGATGGACAGAGCTCTGCGGGTCCGGAAAAGAATGTTTTAGATAAGAGACAATAAACAACCTTGTGAGCCAGAGCTGGGGAATTCTGACTCTTCAACCATCGGGATGGGAAAAAGGGACTCTGGGGTCATCCTGACCGCAGGGAACCCGAGACAGCCCCGTCACAGTCCAGAGGCAGAGGAGAGCAGCAGAGCTGCTGAGCCCTTATCCTGTGTGGCAGCAGGCTGTGCCCAGGCAGAGCCCAGCAGCCCTGCCTCTGCTGCGTGCCTCCTACAGACACCAGGGACAGACACACAGCCTGCCCCAGCTCCTGCCCTTTCCTCACCCCCCGGGCGGCTGCTCCAAGGACAGTGTGCTCTGTGCCAGCAGAGCCCTACCTGTCAGTGATGGCTTCCATGAACTCATCGATCAGGTCGTCGTAGACCTGCGAGCGATCCCTCTTCTGGTACAGCCCCATGTAGAAGGGATCCTTCAGGAGTGTCTGCAGGAGAACGAGCCAGAGAGAGCAGCAGGATGAGTCCCTGCCCCAGGGCACACCCAGCACAGCTCACAGGGGCACATTTCACACCGAGGTGCTGCAGTCATACAGCCCTGGCCTACACCAGTGCTCTGGAACTTCAGCTGGCATGGCTGCTTTTAAACAGAACAAAGCAATACTGTGAAACTGCTTTAATAAATCTAATTCCATTTCCAGCATCTTAAAAGTCAGGTCAAAACTGACTGCCTATTTTCCAGCATTCCAATTACTTCCAGATGCACCCTTTCATGGACAAATCAAGGGGCACTTTTAAATCCCTGCATAGTGAATTCCAAACCTTTTTACCCTTTGCACAAAATATTCAGGTTTATCTCAAATAACAGTGCTCAAAAAAAGAAAAACCCTCTTACAGTATGAAATGTTTTTAAAAAAAAACCCCCATTTTTACAGGGGTAACTCACTGTGTTATCAGTCCCCACGTCGATGCACACAGGCAGGCACTTATCTGGGTGTATCCCTGCACAGGCTGTGTACAAACACAGCTTTCCCACTGGAATTCCCATCCCGTACACCCCCAGGTCTCCAAGACCCAATATTCTTTCTCCATCAGTGACGACAACAGCCTGATGAAAAAAAAACCCCAAAAAAACAACAGGTGAAATCACACACGATCACTGAAATTTATAAAGATTAGATCAATAGCAGCTCTGTTTTCTCCCAGGCAAAAACTGAGGTATGTCTGCACAGTCAAACAAAGGAGAGATCATGAGGAATATTTTCCCCAACCCAAAAACCTGACATTTAGGATGAAACACTGATCTTCAAGATGTGCATTACCTTAATGAGCTGCATTCTGCCACCATCACTGAAGAGCCAAGAATTCATTACTCAATATTTACGTTTCCATCAAACACTAGTAAATCTTAAAAGACTCAGCTGAGATGGAATAACAGCTAGAAACTAAATGACACACTAAATGACAGTACCTTAACGTCGTTCTCTGGCCAGTTGTTCACAATTGACCTTATGTGGCCTCTGTCTGAGATGGAAATAAATAATCCCCTGAAAGAAAAAAAAAAGCAAACCACAAACCAGAAATATTTTGTGGGTGACAATTAGAAATTTCACCTTGCTTTTGTAAAACTAAATGCCAAACAGGACAATATAAAATTCAAAGGTTTACAGCCACTGATATAAATTGCTCAAAGGACAATAGCTGTTCTTGCCCAGGGTAGGGACCAGAGGAACACCTGAACCAGCCCCCTGTGCAGGGTGAGGGTGATTAGGCAGAAATTCCTTTCTAATGGACTAATCCCTAGGTGGTTAGTCCATGAATCCCTTTCAATCCACACTCCCTTCCAGAGGCCCTGTCCTGACACAGATCCTCAGAGCCACAGAAGGGACTCTGATAGCTGGGGAATTCCCCCCTGGAATTACAGAGCTGTTGGCATCTAGGAAGAGCTGGGAATGGGGCTGAAGCCCCGCACCTGGAGTATTTACGTGACCCATCTCCACGTCTGCTTCCAAATGTTTTGTCTCTCACTATAAACTGTGCCCTGAGATATATTTTAACAAACCTTTACTGCCCTGACGTGGCACAAGCCTCGTGTAGCTGCACCCGGATGAAAATGACACAAACCACTTCCAAACTCAGACAAGAAGGCAGGGAAAGGGCAACAGAAGCAGCAGCAAGGCGTGTCTGTGTCCTTACTTTGGTCTCCTGAAGATGTGTCCGTACTGGGAGCAGGCCAGGCCCACGGTTGGAGTGTACACAATGGGCATTAGGCGCTCAATATCGTCCTGCAGCACCCTGTAGAACAGCTTCTCATTTCTCTCCTGGATCCCCATGATGTAGATGTACCTGTAAGCATCCAGCACAAGGAAAAACACCACGAGCTGCCTCCCACTGCTGCTGCTCCCTGAGGAAAGCCCCCTCCCCTGGAGCCAGGCTGGGAGCACCAAAGGGAAGCTGGGGAAGAGAGCACGGTGCTGGGAAGGTGAGATGGAAATGCTGGATGGGACAGGCCCTGTGTGCTGACAAGGTAACAATGACAAATGTGACTAAATCTGATTTGGGGATTTACTGCAGGGTGCAGCGGGGAGTCTCGGTACCCTTGTAAACAAAATCACAGCGAAATAATTCTCCACCCAGAAAATGTGTCTTGTGAATCCCAGCACCAACACACACGTGCAGCAAACTGAGCCCTACCAGAAGGCTCATTCTGAAGGGTGTGTACATTAAATCTGAATTTCTGCAAATTTACCCACCAATTTACTGTGTACCAACCCACACCTGACCCGAGTCCTGCTGACCCAAGGACATAAAGATAATTGATTAGCAATCTGCCTTGGGCTACAGCAGCTGGGCACTCGGCCAATACAGGTGACACGACTGTTTTGGACCAGCAAGTGACATGGTGTGGATTTCAGAGCCACCTTTCAGTTGTGATGAGAACAAAAGAGCTTTGATGTGCTCCAGAGAGCCCCAAGCCATTCCAGTTCTCCTCCTGCCTGCAGGAGACTGTGTATTTTCACGGGCAGAGATACATAAAGATTACGTGAAAACAGTAACAGGATGCTAAAACATGGCATCCTACAAATAAAACACAGCAAAATCCTTTGCAGTTCACCAAACCAGTGGGTTAAGCAACAAAAGATATTAAAAAAATACACACGATGAGATTTAAAATTTGACTCTCGTAGTTCCTTTTTAGCAGTAACTACTGTATATGCTAAACACTGTTTTTGGTATCTCAAAGGCTCAGTTTACCTTCATTATCACACATTTTTACAGATGGGGCTGAAAGCCACCTGCTGTGCTCTAACAACCTGCCACTCCATCTTACAGATCACAGAAATACGTGTGACAGGTTACAGGCAGGTTTGCAGCCTTGTTACTGATTTCCACACACTCTCTTTTGCTGTTTTATGGACATGGAATATTAAAAAAAAAAAAGAGAGAAAAAAAAAAAAAAGCTTCCCAACCTCATGTGACCGCGGGATGAAAGCAGATTTCTGTGCCCAAGCGAAAACAACACCCAAGAACTGAAAAACCCAGCGGAGGCACTAGAAACTCTGGTTACCCCCGCAGAGTATTTTCACATTTCCATCCCATTTCCAGCCCCATATTCCCGTTCCCTCGCACCACAGGACAAGGCCGGAGCAGCGCTTACTTCTCCAAGGGGTCAGTCATTTTTGCCAAATTCTTGTGGAAGCGTAAGGCTTGGATGTCTTGTGTCTCTATCTTGGGAGGTAGGAGTCCCTGCAGCCCAAGCATTTGTCGCTCGTGTAAGGTGAAGGCCATGCCCTGAAAACGAGAGGAGAGCAGCAATTATCAGCTCTTGCCCCAGAAATCCCTTTTCCAGGAACTCTTCCATGGCACCCTTTTCTCCAGGCAGGGTCGGGGTGTGTCTGCCCCTCCTGGGGTTCTCCTCACCTTTTGGGGGTGTTCCTTTCGACCACAGCTTGCCCACCTTCCCCAGACCTCGCCAGATTTAATTTTCCTCTGTGGGGCTGGAGAGCAGCAAGGAGGTGCTGCTGCAAACGGGTTAAAAGTGAAATAACAGCTGCTTTTTCAACTCTTCATTCCCACCCAGGCTGGTCCCTACAGTCACAGACAGTAACACTCACATTTTTATCCAAATTGCTCCATTTGCTGCTTTCTTCAGTAATACAGCCTGATGCCCAAGTCACTGAATTGCACTCATCCTTCTATTAAGATCACAGTCCAACCCAAATACTTAATTTTCACTTAGGGAAGCATCTAATCCATTTGTCTGCTACCAAAAAGCCTCACTGGTAGCAAATCAGAAGAGGTCAACTGCAAAAATTTCTCACTCTTCTCCATTTGGGAGATGGAGAGTGGACGGAGGGTAGACAGAATTTAAATTTATTGTTATTTAAATACTAATTTGAACCGTTTCTCAACCTTCAGATTCTTACTGCCAAGCTAAAAAAAAAAAAAAAAAAGCTTTCTAAGGTTTGCCTTATGCCTTGTAATTACACTCCAAATTCCTCCTGCCACCAGAAAGGTCAGAGAATCAGATGATCCTTGTGGAAAGGACCCGCAAAGATCATCCGTGTTCAATCCTCAACTGGCAAGAAATAAAAATCAGTACTTTTCCACTTGACAGTAAAGGCATCAATTCAGATTAGAATACAAATATTTTCACCTCTGCTTATGTGAGAACAGACTCTTCACAGGTATTTTTTGAGCCCATATCCATTAACAAAAATTTCTAAAAATAGTCCAGTTGTAGTGTAATTCATCCTACCTGAATGGTTTCTAAACAATATTCCTTAGAGAAAAAAATCCCATTGTTAAAATAATTACTATTTTTACATCATTTTCCTCTTTAGGTCATATTTAATATAGGTTGTTTTGACTACACTGACTAAAGCAGTCCACTTGCTTTTCAGTACTGATTCTACACTATGCTCTACAGGAATAAAATACCTGAAGAGCTAGAAAGCAAGAAAAAACCAACAACTCAACCCCAAAAACTTCACCTTTGCCCTCTTGCAGAAAACTCCAAGTATTTAACCCTGAAATGAATCTGTTTTTCTCTGTATTTATTTTCATGTCTGCCAACCTTTCATGTAATAGACTTGACACTAAATACGCATTTCAGTTTAACCTTTCACTACTAGGACAGTAGAGTGGTTCTACAAGTAGTCAGGAGTCATTTGCAAACCACTGTTTTCTTTCCCAGTCTAACTGCTGTTCTACAGTACTCTTCCAATACTAAATACAAATAAATTTCAGATGACAGTCCATTCTTCAGGTTTTTAATCTTGCTGCTGGTTTTTTGGGATTGATTTCTAATTTTTTTTTTTTTTTTGGTGGAGTGCAACAATCACTTTAGCCACTTCAGTGGTACTTTTTTTCCCAACACTGATCTGAATAATCCAACATTCCCACAAAGAACACAACCATGCAAACAGAGAGAAACTGACAAGAGAGAAGAGCCCACGGAAACACGCCATGGTGCCACAGAGGTTTTTCCTGTGTTGCAAAGGATTAGTTCCACTTCTGCATACTTCACAAGAAATATTAATTCTCTGCAAGCAGAAACGCGTGCCCCACACAAACTCCTCTCAGCTACCTTGCCATTTCCTCAACAGCCCTGGCTTGCTGCCATCAGCAGTGTAATACCTTTAAATAGAGTTAAACCCTTCCGAAAGCAGCCCTTTCCCACACAAACTGCCTGCAGTGCGAGAGGCTCGGCCCCAAGGCCGAGCACAGCTGGCAAACATTTGCAGCATGTTGACTGTTACTCTAGACACCGCAGCAACAAAAGCGGTGCCAAAATATTTACAGTGTTTAGAGGAAGAAGAAGAGGAAGGGAAGAAGAAATTTAGTCTCTGGTCAGCAAGGCCAGTGGAGTTTAAGCCTGGGGAAGGCCACACTGGCTACACTGACATTTTACTGTAAACCGAGAGAAACACCTCCCGACCAAAACCTACATCCTCCCCTCCAGAAAGCCTCCAGCCCTGTAAAAACCACCACTACCAAATTTCTAATCTCCACCAGATCGTGGCTTTTCCCAACTTCCCTGCAGAGTGGCACCTGTGTCCTTAAAACAAATGCCCATGACCCCTGAGCTTAGCTCCAAGCAGGACAGAGACCCATCTTTATTCAGTTTATTCACACTCCTTCCTGTCTGTAGGGAACCTGGGTGTTGAATGTCTCTGGAGTTACAATAACATCAAACAGGATGAATTTTTAAGTGACACTAAGTACGTTCAGCTGTTGATTTACATGATAATTACATCTCGCTGTATTCAAAGAGGCTTTAATTTCTGCCTAGGCCTGAATCAGGAATCAGAATGACATCAGCCTTCACAGAGAAACTCAGTCCTTGTTCCAACTGGAACAGAACAAGTTTAGTCCAGAGCAGTGAGATAAAATCCCTGAGTCCTTCTAACACTTGCAGTATCTTTGTCCATGACCACGAGCTTGTTTTTGTTGTGGATTTGGGATTGCCCATGCAGTATCTCCCAGGATGGAGCTGCAGTATCACACACCCAGCACTCTTCCAGCTGCCTGTGACCACAGCCAGCCCCAGATCAGGGGGCACAGCCACTCCTGGGACAGCAGGGGACACAGCCAGCCCCAGATCAGGGGGCACAGCCACTCCTGGGACATCAGGGGGCACAGCCAGCCCTGGGAGATCAGGGGGCACAGCCACTCCTGGGACAGCAGGGGACACAGCCAGCCCCAGATCAGGGGGCACAGCCACTCCTGGGACATCAGGGGGCACAGCCAGCCCTGGGAGATCAGGGGGCACAGCCACTCCTGGGACAGCAGGGGACACAGCCAGCCCCAGATCAGGGGGCACAGCCACTCCTGGGACAGCAGGGGACACAGCCAGCCCCAGATCAGGGGGCACAGCCACTCCTGGGACATCAGGGGGCACAGCCAGCCCTGGGAGATCAGGGGGCACAGCCACTCCTGGGACATCAGGGGGCACAGCCAGCCCTGGGAGATCAGGGGGCACAGCCACTCCTGGGACATCAGGGGGCACAGCCAGCCCTGGGAGATCAGGGGGCACAGCCACTCCTGGGACAGCAGGGGACACAGCCAGCCCCAGATCAGGGGGCACAGCCACTCCTGGGACAGCAGGGGACACAGCCAGCCCCAGATCAGGGGGCACAGCCAATCAGGGGCACAGCCAGCCCCAGATCAGGGGACACAGCCAGCCCTGGGACATCAGGGGGCACAGCCAGCCCCGGGACATCAGGGGGCACAGCCAGCCCCAGATCAGGGGCACAGCCAGCCCCAGATCAGGGG